TAATATAGTTTTTGCAAGGCAAGATGCTGGTCTAAATTATGAGCTTTTTGAGGATCGATATAAATCAAGGGTTCTCTTATTCCAATTTTTTATAATTATGAAAAAAGTTAGTATCTATAAAGTTAAATTCTACTCATTAGCTGAGGTGCTTTTTTTCCTTGCGCTTTTGCCTTACCTCTATCTCCTTTTGCAGATTTAGTGGAGTGTCAAACCTTAGGTAGATTGCAAGGGGATCATCTTCTGGTCTAGTGAGATCAAATACAATAAATTCACCTCTTCGAAGATAGCTATTAATAACCATAGATGCATTTTTCACATCATCAGTATAACGACCGGCTATCTTAGACACATCTTGTTGGCTACTACCACCGTTATACATTACTAAATGGGAGATATTCTCACAAATGAATGTAGGGACTTTATGGTATTTTTGGGTAACATATATACTTGAAATATTTTGATAACGTCCATTCCCAAAAAATTGGCTAATTCGATTCTGTATATGTTCAGGGACTAAGCACAGATCTTCGAAAATAATTAGTGTGCTTCTTTCAGGTGAGAATGCTCTTGTACTAGGAATTCTTTCAGGTGGAATGTAACTGAAACTAATATCCTTATAGAAAGGTGCTTTTGGATCCTTTGAAATCATATTATATATATACCTCACATATGTCTATTTTGGCTCATCAGGATGATACTCACAAACAATTAAATCATCACATTTAATGTAGCGAGACCCACCTTCCTCCCCTCTTTGTACATATTCATCCTTATCACTAAGAACAAGGTTTCAAGTAAATTAATCTTACCTGAACCACTTTTCCCAGTGACCAACTTGCTAAAAGGCCATATCATTACCGGATGGCCAATATTTCGGGATGATTCATACTTTGTGACTTTATCCATATCCAAAATACGAAGTTTCATAGAAGGTAGTCCTGTTTTTTGGTTTTTTAGCGTATCAGATTAGGAACCCATAACTATAATTTCTATTTAAGGGTATTTTATAGTTTGGAATATTTTTTTCTTTATTGTAAGATGAATATAGACAAGAGAATATGCACCATAGGAAGTATATGATTAGTAATACTATTACGAAGATGAATGCATGCTGAAAAAATAAGGAATAAGATAATTCTGAGGTTGTTTCAGGGCTAGTGATTTCATTACCTTTCTCCAGTCCTTTATCACCTTCAATCACTTCAGACTCGCTGGATGTTATTGAGATCTGCTTGGCTAAACGAGTGTTATTTAGGACCGCTTCTTGAAGGAGGGTGTCTTTCTCTATCAATGCCTTTTGCGCTGTGGCTAAATTATCTATCATCTGCATCAATTCATCCTTTTTTTGATTAGTGTATCTTCTAAATCTCTTTTCTCCAAATCTAGGTCAATATTTTTTGTAAATAGTTCTGTATTTCTCAGTTCCCATTTACGCCTAAGAGATTCCATTTCTGATACCTCCTCCTGTGCTAAAGAAAGATCTCGCTCTAATTCCTCTACCCTAGATTGGAGAGATTCTATTTCTGACAACTCCTCCTGTGCTAAAGAAAGATCCCGCTCTAATTCCTCTGCCCTAGATTGGTGAGCCTGTATCTCTTTCTTCATTTTGGATTGGAGGGCTTGCATCTCCTCCGATTTTATAGAGAATTCACTTTCAGCATCTGCAAGAGAAATATCTTTGCGAGTAATCTGAAGCTTAAAGTCATTTATCTCTGAATTCAATTGTCTTATCTCGTCCATAAGCTTAGGATCGTTTATTTTTGATTGTAAGCATGTTATTTCCTCTCCAAGTTGATGCATCCGATTGGAAAGTTTCTCATTTTCTTTTCTAGATCTATTTAAGTCATTCTGTAAGCGCTTATTTTCTTTTTTTGATTGATTTAGAGAATCCTGCATGTGCTTGTTTTCTCTATCTAAGACATCATAGCTATCCGCAAACTGGCTTCCCCAATATATAGCAACTTCACAGTTTTTTTTTACGCAAGAAAGCTCTTCTTCAAACTCTGTTCGGCTAGGGGGGTATTGATTTGCTGAAGTATCTTCAAGTATATTACCGCTATCCAGATCTTTTAAGGTACAAATCTGGAGCATTTTATTGGGTATTTTTTTTACTTCAGGCAAAAAAAAAATCAGCCAGGGTCTTATGATTATTTTTGGCGAATCTAATACCTATCGATACTCATTGAAAAAAGATCACTGATACGTATTGAAAAGCACTAGCAGACATTCATACTTATTGATACCCACTGAAAGAGAATATTGATATACATTGAAGGATATCAATATGTATTGAAAAGCACTGATTCATATTGAAAGGCACTGATTCATATTGAAAAGCACCGGTATGTATTGAATTACTAGGAATATTGATACATATTGAAAAGTATTGAAAAAAAATTATTGGTAGTTTTTTTGCATATATATTCTGACTAAAAAAAATGGTCACCTATCTTCATGAAAAATTTTATCGATCCAATGCAACCCTATTAATAGAAGCCGATATCAAGGAAATTAGAGAATCCAGAGGCAGGATACCCAATGCATCAAAAAAAATGGCTGAAAAATTCCATGTTGGTGCTCGGCGTATTTATGAAATATGGAACAATAGTGAACGTCTCCAACAAGGGCTTATTTTATCTTCCTCTGATCAGCCTGCTTTGGATAAAAATTCCCAAACTGATAAGACAGAACAGATTCTTGAAGTAATATCAGAAGTATCCCTTCCGGCTACAGAGATTCCAAAAAAGAATGGTCGAAAAAAGAAGGTTAAAATTGATGAGAAGCCGGTTACTGAAGCAACTAGTATAGTGGAAAAAAATAACAAAAATGATGTGGTCTCTTTCTCTGATAATTTGTCTGATACATTCCAAGAAGCTAGGGTGGAATCTCTTCTTAAAAATCTAGTTAATCGCGGTGAAAAGCTTAAGGGTTTAATAGCTAATACCACCCTTATATAAAGATTCACATATATCAGTAAGAAATTTACCAGTACTTAAGGCCGAATAGAGCATTTCTTCAGTCTTTATGAGGCGCTTTTCAAGCTCTTTACACTTTTTTTTAAGTCCTCCTCACTAGTTGGGCTAGAGGAGTTGGTAGATGCTTGGTCTTGCTTCTCTTTGGGCGGATCTCCAACTTTTGGAGCTTTGCTAAAGGTTGGGATAATATATGCCTTTCCATGTAACTTTATGTGGAACTGGTTTTTATTTGGCTCGGGAACGCCTTGAACCTTTCGAATGTTTGACATACCTAAAAATAGCATTGGTTCTGTTTCACCATTATCAATACGAACAAA